ATGGTAAGAAACCTCTGTTCCCAAAGGTGACATCACATGAGCTGAAAAAGCTTTGCTTTACAGATTCATTTTGCTTCAGGTTAAACCTTAACACTAATGATTTTTGTACTGAAAAATATACTTCTAGAGGAAGGCACACAGATCCCACAGCTCAGCACATAGTATACAGAAAAGAGCAGGCTAATGATGTCTACTCATTGCTACTAGCACCAAAACAATGAAGTCCAAGCCCAGTTTTCATCAGCTGGTGTAATAGTTCTACCTGGAATAGCACCTGTAAGTAATATATCAATGAGAGACTGAGGTATGGTAAGCCTTCACCAAGGGGCCATTAAAAAACCAAACACAAACCAAACAAACTTAATGGTTGTTACAGGGTGGAGAAAAGCTATCAAGGAGGATGAAGTAAGATGCAAAGCAATGAGTTTTCAGGCTGCAGCTGATTCTGGCTCCATTAGACTCAAAGATGCAAAGGCACAGCAGTGAACAAAATCAGTCATCAAAGGTGATGGAATGTGTTTGTGACACAAAACTGGATTTCACTAAAAGTCTGAAGAAGTAAGGTGTGGGGGCACAATATATCAAGAAACTGAATAGCTCTATGATTTCCAAGAAATCCTCCTCCTCAGGAACTCCCAGGAACTCAGAAATAATAGACTTGACTGTATTCAAGAAGCAAGGAGAGAAGTAACAAGTTTTTGTCTTCTCATAACACTGATGCTACCAATGACGTATCAAGCACTGGTTCTATGGAGATGGGCACAGACTCAAAACATATGAGCTACAAATACAAAAACCTGCTTATGCAAGCCTCTCCCAGAGTAGCTGTTGCTGCTTGTTTAATTGTGTGGTTTGATTGCCACACGTTTTCACCTTCCTATTAGCATTTTTAAAAGCTGGATGATGGGATATGAAGAGAATTGCAAATCCTGTGCCTTTACCTTAAGAAATACTTCAGAAGTCAGAGAGGGAAGGAAGCCACAGCTGGTTCTTGCACTTGGCTCCTAACAGCACAGTGAGATGGAACTTCTAGTGCTTTTTCTTGCTGTTTTGACTGTCCTGGTGGCAATGGCATTCTATTATGAACACCCTGAGGCAGAAATCCCTCATGGATTTAGTCAGTGCCAAAAGCTTCACGTTTTTTCATCATTGCCTGAATTTCTTGTTTGGTTTGGTAAGTAATACTTGATTAAAGCTGGAGTTTTTAATTTAATTTCTGATAGAGGGGTAATGGATTGGTGAGTTATTTTAGAATAAATGTATAAATATACTGCAAATGTGATGTGAACACCACTGCAGATACCTTCACCTCAGCATAACAGACTCTACTGCTTGCTATATAGCACCAAAGGCAGCAATATGGGGAAAAATGCTGCAGACTGTGTCATTTTCATTTCTTTCTGATGATCTATGTTTTAGCTTTTTTATCTTGTTGCCTCAATCTGGTGCTGGAAGGCTTAAGAAGCTTACTGCACTGTGTATATGGAAATCCTGCTCTGGAGAACACAGGGCTTAATTAGAGAATGGGCAACTAAATGACAGCTGTGATGTCAGTTCTCTTCCACAACTGCATCACTCCTGAGCCATCTGAAAGACAGCTGCCACATCCATCATCTTTTGGCTTTCATTAGGTCTATATGACTTTCCTTTTTGAGATAGCACAGGTTACATTAAAGCTGTCTTTCTGTGTCATTGTTGGCACACTTCTGATCCTCTTATTTTTTATCCATGTTTCTCTTTAAAACTAAAATGTGACTTCCATTTGCCCTTCTGTTTTATCAATTATATTTTCCTGAATTAATTGTTGCCCCTGTAATTTTAAAAACACTTCTGTGATACCTTAATCAAGCTCTTTTTCTTTTAGTTGTTTAAATTCTGGGAAAAAACTTCCAGATTCTTTGGCATGTGCATTATACTTCACTTCCATTCCATGTTCTAAAGTTCTTATTTCTTCCTCCCTTTCCCTTCTACATTGCTTAAGTTTTGTTTGAAGTCAGCCAGTGAACTCTTAAGAACCTGACTCATCATGTCCCTAGAGAAGTGCCCCACCCAGGCCTGAACACTGCTACCACAGTAAAGCCATGCAATGAGATAGGACAGTAACAGAAATCAAATTTAATTTTCTTACACTGCTTTGCAATGTGTGGACTTCCACACCGTAAAAATACTCCTCAGATACTCTTTATCCATCAGACAAAGTTTTATCTTTGTGCAATTCATGTGCAAAAGGCTAAACTGCGGAGTTTAGAAACTACTGGTGATTAACAGAGCTTTTAACATCTGATCATATAATTTTGTGTCCTTTTTGCTGGCCAGTGAGAGGCCAAGCAGAAGCACTGAACTACATCACCTCAAGGGAGCAGAAAGACAAGAATATTTATCTATGGTTATTATTAAATGCAAGTAAAGCCCAAGACACATAGCAACTCTCGTTATTGCTGTTAGGCCAATTACTTATGACAAAGTAGCCAAATCCTTTAAAGGGATAACAACCCATTATGTCAAAACTGCAGGGAAAATGAAAGTTTACTGGCATAACCAGTCTTCAGCTGGGACAAAAGATGCATGTGAAGTCACTGGAGACAAACCAGTTTGAAGTAGTTGTCCCCAGTCTAATAGATATTTTATGAAGAAATACCTGCATTCACCTATGAGGGTATACTTAAATAAAAACAGCTACATCTTAATGTTTATAAAATTTATGCACTGAAAAATCTATTAGCTCATCCTTTATTTTTTCATCTAATGTTCAGTCTATAAGATGAAAAACTGACTTATCAGTGAAGCTAAACAATAGCCAGGGGACTTATGACTGATCCTGTCTGGGAAGCAGAGGTGTTGATTAAACTGTGCCATCAACTGTATTCATAGTTCTGTAAGCTTCTTGTACCCAGTTTATTCCAGTTATCACTAAGGTAGATGGGCTGGCACAAAGTGTAATTCAGATGAGTTCTGGGGTATACAGGGTAGGCATTGAACCTGTGTAAAGAGGACAAAGAACCCTCACACCAGGGAAAGCACAGCTCTGTCACATCCCTCCCACAGATATTCCTACACACTTGCTGCAAGCTCTGGTCTTTGCCTGAACATGTATCTGGACTCCTAACTGTAAGTTAACTAGGTTCTTACACAGATTTTCTCCTGGTGCATGGAAATCTCCATGCCAGTTGTTGCCAGTGGGATCAGTGCTTCAGTATTTTCCTGTGAATGCCAGACACCTGCACTTGGTGTGCCTGCAGAGGCTGAGGCAGACAACACTTCAAATGAGGTGGCAGTTCTCTAATCCCATACTTTTGCCTTATGCTCCTTGTACACCTTTATTCATTTCCAAGCTGTCATGTCAGCTTTAGTGTTAGAAGATCCTCAATCAACAAATAGCCAAATGACTGGACAATAAATTATACTACTACTACAAATTATACTACTAAGCATTCACACTTACTTACAAATGTCAAAAAGTTGGTCATGTTTGACTGACTTGGGTGATCATCTGCAAAAGAACCAGCTTTATGAGCATGAAGATCCTGAAACTGAAATTTCTGGTAATGAAGAAATCAGTGATACACAGTCTAGATATACTGTAAGTGAACCTTTATGTACACATAGCCCAGGCTTGCAGCTGTCATGCCAGTGATCATTTTGCCAGAAACTGTAGACCAAAAGCCAATACCTCACTGTGAGGGAACATGCACATTAAAAAAAAGGACCTGAATCAGAAAACAAAGCAAGAATGCAAATTCTGCTGCTTCTTGTAGCGCTTCTATTCACAGGAACTGTGCAACTTAAAACAATACTACTTAAAAAAACAACATTAAAATTTAATTTGTATGGTAACAGACACAATTATGAAGACTATGCATGATGATACTAATTACAGATGTCTGCCATAACTGGTTGTTGTTGCAGGTAATCTATAGAAGATATTCACAGCTAAGAGTGAAGTAACTGTCCTGGTTTGAGCAATATAAATAAAGAGCAATATAAATAAAGAGCAATATAAATAAATTCCAATCTCTGTGAAAGCTGACCCATGAAACTACTGCAGTTTTAAGAAAAATGAGATGTCAGACTCTAATGTCAACTCTAAACAGAGTGGTTGATAAGGACTTCTATTTTTTGTTAGTATTTCTAAGATGAAGATCATCCCTATATTATATACAAACAACACAGCTAATCACAGGTTTAACCTGTATATCTAATAAGTCACAAGTCTTATTCTGGGGTTTTAAGATACATGCATATGCATACCTTGTATATGCAACTCTTTTTAAAATATGCATGTATAACAGCAACACAACAAATGAAATTACTCATTAGAGAAATCTACTGCAGAAAAAGAAAAGTACAACATTTAATCCAATATAGGGGAAACAGAGTTATACTGCCTCATACTCTTCCTCTTGAGCAGGAATAGACTAGGTCTGACTACCAATGAAACAGCTTAAACCCATCCAGATGCAACAAAGGGAACTATCTCAGACTGACATAAGACTCTTCAGCCTGAGTGTTTAGGTAAGATCAGTGAGCTGTGAGGTGACCAAGCCAAGGTTCAAAGTTATTCTTGTTCAGGAGGACAGCTGTGGTAGATGATACAGATTTTTTTTCTCCAAGCTAAAAAGTAGCCTGAGTTTCAGAAATTAAAGTATTAGCCACATTTCTTCATCCAAAGCTGGAGTCTTAAATGCTGTAACTACTCTCTCCTTATTGTGTTCAGGCACATGGCTACTTAAACACCTGACAAGTTGAAGTATTTGACATCTTCTTTTATCTACTAGTAATAGTCTGATTTTTTTCCTACTGATAAAAACTTAAGCAAGGATTTCACCCCTGAAGAATGACATAACGTGAAAACCACAATGGTCTCATCTAACATTTCTAATATAATCTAAAAAATACCACCTAAGCTGATCCTGTGTTCTGCTAGATAGTACACCTAACATTTTTGCCAGAAGTTTAAGATGGTTTTGATGAACCAAGTTCCTGTGCTTCAGTGAAATCAACTTCCAGACCAGCCTTCCCACAGGCTCCAAGGCCTTGTTTTGGAGAAGCATGGACACAAAGCAATTACAGAAGAGAAGTTAACCTCCTCCTCTTAAATCTAGTATTCTTTGAATTTCAAATTTCTGTAGGTATTACACTAGAATGAAGATTTATCTAAATCATCATCATAACTGTCCACTTCATTCTAAGAACCCTTAGGAGACAGAGTTTGAATTTACCACAGAATTTTAAATTTTTCATGATCAACCTCCAAGTAAGAAAGAAATTTGCAATAAACTGTGGTTTCTTTCCCTTTATTAACAGGCAACGTTCTTGGAAAAAGTAGGCCTTCCTTCAGAGGTCCATCTACTCAGGATGGTAATGGATGGAATACTACCACTAAAAGATAAGTATCTTTTTATCAAGGACTCAAAGTTCAAAAAGGTTGGAGTAAGAATTTACCATCCAAAAATATCAACCACTAGCCAAAGAAGAGGAATCCTTTATTTTCATGGAGGAATTGCACGGTTTGGAAGCATTCATAAGTAATAGAAATAAAATGTGTTCTAACTACAAATGCTACAAATGCTAGGTTATGATCTGATAGAGTATTTCTTAGATGACAAGAAGAGTTAGCAGGTTAAGCATTATAAATATCAAAATTACCTTCAGGACAGCAGAACAATTATTTTTTTTTACATGCAATAGGCATCATGTTAGATTCCCTTTATACAGCTCCTGTACCTAGAACATTTATTTTCTGATCTGAAGAACTGAGGGGATGGAAACCACATTTAACTTGTCATCAACCTGAGGTGAACATTCTGAACATTTTTCTGATAAACTGTAATGCATTTTCAAAAGAACTGATTTCTAAAAATTCAGGAAAAGAGTTGATGTCTTAGAAATTGATTAAAATTGCACTAATTACTAGTAACATCCTAAAATACTTGAAGACCCACTAACTCCTATTGATTCTATCTATAAAGAATCCAGATTACAGAAAACCACTGAAAAACTTTCATATTTGCATTGTAAGTTTTTCCTTCTCATATTCTTTAACAGTTTCTTGTTGGGAAATGTTCCCTTGCATTTCTAACTGGAATTGCTGGTAACTGATTCATACACACCTGCCTTGCCACCCAGTTCAACAGTAACTAAGCATGTCCCTTCACTTACCTAATAGATAAAGAACTATTTTGCAAAGATACAACAGTGTATTGACTCCTCCAAACATTAAAAATAGTAGCAGGTAATCCATAAAAAGTAATAATTACCGTTGATTCTAATGCTCTAAGTATAGTCTCGGAATATTTTCCCATCTTCAGAAAGAAATACATGAATGAAAGTATGACAATGGGAACATTCACCGTATATTTAGGTTGAACATTAGGAGGAAATTCTTCACTGTGAGGGTGATGAGACCCTGGAACAGGTTGCCCAGTGAAGCTGTGGCTGCCCCATCCCTGGAAGTGTTGAAGGGCTTGAAGCAACCTGGTCTAGTGAGAGGTGTCCCTGCCCATGCAGGGGGTTGGATCTAGATGATCTTTAAGGTCCCTTCCAACCCAAACCATTCTATGATGATTCTAAGATATGAAATGTATGATGTATTAAAACACCTTCTCTCCTATTTAGATATCGCTTGGCTCCTAAGCACCCATACCCAACCCAGTCTGAGGACTGTCTCACTGCCACCATCCACTTCTTGAGGACTGCGAAAGAGTTTGGGGTAGACCCTTCCCGCTTTATCGTCTGTGGAGACAGTAGTGGAGGTACACTTGCTGCTGCTGTTGCCCAAGCACTGGGGAACAGAAGAGATCTCCCAAAGCTGAGAGCACAAATACTAATATATCCTTTTGTCCAGTGTGTGGATTTTAATTTGCCTTCTTATCAGCAGAATGAAGGAGTCCCAATTTTGTTAAAGGAACAAACTGTTGCTCTTGGTCTGAAGTACCTTAATAAAGACTTGTCTGTCTTGGAAGCAATGCTTAAAGGTTGTCATGTTCCAGAAGATTTGCAGCTGAAGTATCAGAAATGGGTCAGTCCTGACTACCTGCCTCATGAGTTTAAAACAAGAGGCTATAAGCCAAGTACTAGACATCAGTTCTCCAAAGAAGTCTACACAGTGATCAAGCCGATGTTTGAGCCTGTTTTTTCACCATTGCTCGCTGAAGACAGTGCTATGGCTCACCTGCCTGAGGCTTTCATTTTGACCTGTGAATTTGATGTGCTGAGAGATGATGGACTGCTGTACAAGAAACGATTAGAGGATCATGCTATCAAAGTGACCTGGTGTCATCTGCAAGAGGGATTCCATGGAACTCTATTCTTAGCTTTTTATGGCAGGGTGGTAGCATTCCGATCTGGAAGTAAAGGTCTGAAGATGATAGTAAATTTTTGAAGATTAGATTTCTTAAATTTCTGCATTGCATCTGTCTTCTTTTCACCCAACACATTTATTTGGTCATGGCTTTTGCTTCGTTTTCTCTTATGATACACAAAATCAGGTAAACATGCCTTGCTTTTCTCTACCACCTCTTCAGAGTTTTCTCCTGTAGCCATTAAAGAACTTGCTCCCATGGCAAGTGTTTTGCAATACAGTTCATCTTAATAAAGCCCTGGTAATATTAATATACAAACTGTGATTTGAGGACAACTTGGAGCAGGTAAAAGGGCTTTTGAGGACAATTTGGGGCAGGTAACAGAGTGTGAATCTACAGGTTAAGTGTGTAATAAGGACAGTCAATGACTTGATTTATCAAAGCCTCTATCTGGTGGAAGCCGAGTTTGAAGCAAGCTGAAGGAGAACTGAATAGAGCAGAAAAAATGAAGAATAGACATGAAAGAAAGGAGAGGAGGTCAGGAAATGGAACTACAGATTTTATAGAAAAGCATTGGTTAAGAAAAACATATATTAAAAATAATTTATATGAATTATATTGATAAAGATAATATGCTAATATACAATAATAGCAGTTCCTTTACAAAGAGCTTGCACTGACTGTAGTCCTGCACTGCCTGAAGCAGATGCACTTTCTCACAGAGGAACAATGTGAAATCCAGAAATAAAAGGATTCAGGAACAGATCAGAACACTGTCACTGACCTGACATTTGGTGAAATGCTTGAGGACTGTAGTCCTGCACTGCCTGAAGCAGATGCACTTTCTCACAGAGGAACAATGTGAAATCCAGAAATAAAAGGATTCAGGAACAGATCAGAACACTGTCAGGACCTGACATTTGGTGAAATGCTTGAGAGTTCAGTATAGCTGGGAGGTCCTGACACTATTTGAACAGCTATGTGTTACCTGGAGATGTTTAAAGAAATTAAGAAAGGAGAAGCAAATTGTCGTGCATGATTCCCATCACCAGGTGTCAGCACCCAACCGAGTTTTTAATGCCAGCAAAATAACCTGTCAAGCTTTGTGCTCTGGGCACAGCTCATGAGTACCTGGGAGATATTACAAAAGGTCAATCTGTGGTATAGATTTAGATATTTTTACTGAACCTGTTGTTGTGCCTTCACAGACTAAAGCTGCATGGTTAGTAACAGAGCACATTTTAAACCATAATAATTTTAAAGTCATATTACCTGTTCTAAGCCAACCAAGTTACAGTGGTTTATTGCAAGGTCACTTACCTTCTGCTTTGTTGTCTTTACATTAACCTCTTTGAGCCACTCTCGTTAAAAGGCAATATGCAACAGAAAGTATTTTGAAAAATAAGCAGGCAATTAGAAAATGTTCCAAATCTATTAACTCATTATTTATTTAAAAATATTTAACATTATTGTCTGCCTATGATGCCCTTTCTCTGTACTAAATGAACAGGTATAATCCTGCAAACTGTGCTTTTATTCTTGTCAATCTTTTCTCTGATCCCCCATTATGTCCATGCTTCATTGTGTTTGCTGATTCTCCTGGTAGTGAAGAAACTGCTAACCTGAATATTTAGAGTTACAAGTCTCAGACAAATCTGGCCACAATAAATTAAGGCCAGTTGCAGTTTTTATGTTCACATTCAATATATTTATGGGTTAATAAGATTACATTTTGGTGTGGTGACCTGTTATGGAAGTCCAGGTAAATGTTCGAGAGCAGCTCATTTGGACACAGGGTTCCTCCATCCTGAGGAAAGAGAACTGTACAGCTACCAAAACACATACAAAACTCATCCACATTTCAAAATGCTATGTAAGAAAACTTTCTGTTAAGTCACCATTTCAAAAAGGTACCTGCTCTGAATTGCACAGCACAAGATCTGAATTTCCACTACAGAATGCTAATACATAGTATTTGTAATAATTTTTATCTGATTTGTTTAATAAAGTGCAGCTTTTAATGCAGAATTTGTTAGCAGGTGTTTAACCCAGGAGTTTGAGGACAGACTCAAAATTAGTAACTTAGAGGAAGAAAGGTTAAAAAAGATTTATGGCAGATTAAATGAAAGATGGCTTTCAGTCATGAGTACAAACAAAATACATAGGGAGTAGCTACTAATTTTGTGTGGGGAGATGGAGGTAACAAAAAAGGACACCAAAAGGTGGGTAGGAAGCAGGCTAGATGAAGGAGGTAGATCAAGCAAATATATAGCACCTTTAAAAACACTATCATAGAGCATCTACTAAGCAGTAATTTCTTAAAGCTTCTTATTGTCAGTGTAGAAAGCAAACTAAACCCATCTCACAGATGAGAAGACAAAGGCTTACAGATAGGAGGAGGTCTGAGATGCTTCCAGTCATTTCTTCAAACAAATACAAAAAGAGAAATGTGAACTTGAGGACAGTCAGTTTCCTACATGCTCTGCTTGGTAAAACCAAAGTTAGTTAAATTGCACTACAGACTCTAATTGTCCTACTAAATTGCCTGGAATTAATAAATAAAGATACATATTTACAAGAGGACTTAGTTTTGAAATGTACTTTTTTTAAAAAGCAATTTATCAGAAGCTATTACTTCTGCTTTTAATTCTTCATTGGAACACATTATTTTTTTTTTGTTTTCATAGCTTTATTCCTTCTAGTTAGTTCTTAAGCCTGGCTGTACTTAACAGAATCAATACCTCAGTCATGTTAGCTGGCTGCTTAACCATGCTTTTGTTAATCCTAGTAGTATTTCCTGTATTACACACAGTAGCAATCAGCTAACTATAGGCTAACTGTGTTTCCTAACACAGCCTACAATCTGAAGTGAAACGTTTTGCAATATTTCTGAGAAAGAAATTGGAAGGAAAACAGTAACACATGACATTCCATAACTCATCAGCACCCACTACCTACACACTTTGGCCTCTTTTAGTGTCTGGTTTGAAACCTGCCTTGTGCAGATAAGATGAGAAGCTGATGAGTGTTGCACGTTCTCAATCAGCAGAGTATAAATCTTACAAACACCAACAGGGAAAAAACAGCAAACATCATCTTTCTTTGAGTAGGTATTGTTATAATAATACTGCACCTTCCCATCATTACTATGACCACTAGAAACATGCTGAAAAAATTAAGAAAATATTGAATTTTAGGTGAGGAACCTCTTGCATAAAACAGAGGCTCACTGATGAGAAAATGGGAAGAATTTACTCAATTATGGCCAATTCTGTATTCACCAACCACCACACAAAACATGTCAGTCTCCAGCAATGCTACACTCAATTAATAAAGTGACAATCTTGAGAGCTCTGAGCAGGTAACTGTTTTATAAGAATAAAGAACTGTATGCATATCCATAGCACATATTGCAAAGGTAATTTTCTCCAGTTTAGTGGAGTAACTTCAGTCTTTAGCTAACATAAGGCTGCTCTCATCTATGTGTAGGTAAAGACTTTGTTGAAGCTGGGACTTTGCAATGAGCTTGCTGAAAGAATAATAAATATATTCACATAAACAGAGCAAACATACTCTTATTTAAACCAAAATTAAAGCATGAAAGTGCTTGTGCATTCTGCTATGAAACAAAACTTATCAAAAAACATGGAATTGAATGTTTCTTCTCAGAGAAGAATATACTTTGATGACAACCGCAAGTAGCCCCACATCACTAAAATTTAACACCACAACAGGCATGTCCTTATGGAATGAATTTACAACAACCAAACACCATCTTCAAATAAGGACCCCACTGGACAATAATTTCTCAACGTTCATGAGGAACTCATGATATAAATCAATTCCATATACTATAAATTCCACATTTTGTAAAGGGTGAAAAGTTCTCCCTCCCCTTGTTTCAGAATATGATATGCGAATACCATTAACAAAAGAAGGGTGGAGAAAATTAGGGTATTGCAACATTAATGAACTTTTTATTTCTGCTTATATATGTGGTGCTTAGTCTCCTGTGAAGACAACTCAGAAACAGTTGGCAACACGGATTAAGGCAGCACCGGTGTTTTTTTAGCATTCACTTCTATTGAACTGAAATGGCATCTGTTTCTACAACTTTAGCAGTAATAGGAATGGTTTTAATTTCTCCTGCTGTAATACCAGCACTGGCTTTGGGGGTGATGTTTTACAGTTTTTTCAACTCAGAACTGCCACCTGGAATTGACCAACCCCTAAAGCTTCGTTTTTTCCATTCATGGATGATTACCTTCATGATATGGGTAAGTTAACTTTCTGAAAACTTTTTTTCCCTTTTGTTTTGGTAGGATTTTTGGGAGGTAGAAGATAATAGCTTAATTAAAAAAAAACAAACAGGAAACAGCAATTCACCCCCCATGAAGCCTATAAGCATTGTCCTATGAACCAAATCATGTTAAATTAACTGACAGACTAATCTTATAAGCTTCTTTAGATTTTTTAGTGCATGTATTGAAATGCAGCCACTTTATATTGGAAAACTGTTTCACATGAAACTTTTAACAAACTAGATGTTTATTGTACCTATTGAACTGCATGTATAGAACAATGCCATCTTATCAGAAGCAAGCCTACATAACTCTTCTTCTTATGGATTCTTTCTTTTCAACAGGGAAAGATTTTGGACAAGCTAGGGATCTGCAGTGATTTAAGCCTGCTGCGCCTTGTGCTAGATGGAATACCTACCTGGAGAGATTCACAACTTCTTATCAAAGATCTCAAAGTAGATGAGGTACCGTTGAGAATTTATCAGCCTAAATGGCCACCTACCGGCAGAAGAAAAGGAATTCTGTATTTTCATGGAGGCGCTGGCACATTGGGGAGCATTAGTAAGAAATCAGAAAGTTGTTTTTTTTTAAATCAAATACAAACCTCTGTTTTTTGACTTTCAGATGGGCCAGTCAGTATCTCTCACCTGCCCTTCCTAATGACAATAGTCTTTGTAATCTCAATACTAAGTGAAAAGCACCTTGCAGAATTACTAGTCTAGCACACTTTAAGGGTAATCACATTTCTGCTTCCTTTGAGATACCGGGGAAGTTGATGAAAGCAGCTCTTAGCAGATCTGAGGGTACTAAATGAAGAACTGAGATCCAGAAACCCCTCAATCAGCTGTCAGCTAACAACAGAGGGACTCTGCTCCTCCTCTTGTTGAAGGTGTTCTGAAAAAGACTCAGTGTGCTGGGGCAGAGAAAGACAGATCATTAAAACAAAACATTTAGGTCACTGTGAGGGAAGCTCAGCTCCCAGGATGCCCTTGTACCTTTACAAATTGCTAGCTGAAAACAAGATACAGAACAAGTCCTGGAATAAGGGTTACAATCCATTACTCTTCCCTCCCTCTCCTCTGTACTCTGTCTTTTCTGAAAATCTAACTTAAAATCCTTTTAGGGTGTTACAGAACTCAAGCCTAAATGTACTTTCTGGAACAATTATAGTACCATGAAAACGGTACTGTTGTTGCAAAAAAAAAAAATTAAATACTTTTTATTTTCTTTTTTGGAAAAAATGTTTTGGTTGATTCTAAAGGAGAAATGTTTAGTTCTAAATCTCAACTGGGCTGAAGTGTTTCTTGTAAGCCTGGACATGGCCTCAAAGCACAGAACTGAAGATATACTCTGTGCTCAGCATTCAACTTTTGTGTGGAAACACTATAAAAGTCAGTGAGTGTTTCCCAAGTTTTTTAATTCTTACGGTAACACTGCACAGAATACTTAATTTCTTTTTCAGAACGGGAGACAACCCTTTGGTTGTCTCAGTAGCTGCTGGCTCAGCTTTCTAACCATTCTAGATTTCCTTCTGAGCAACCAAGTCTATGAGTGCTTTTCTGGGAGCCGAGGCACCTAACATGGAAATCCAGATTTCATCCCAGAGGTCAGACAGGGAAGTTTGTCCATTTTGAATCCTTTACTGTTTCTAAGGGTAAGTCTCCACTAGCACTATGTTGGGAAGACTTCAGTTATCTGCAAGTGAGTTTGAGAGTCTACCTAAGCTTTGTCACCATCATGCAGAAACAACAATGCAACTTTTGGTAACTTAGGTTCCATTCTACACTGCGACAGGAATAATTCACTCTTGTTTCACAACAGAGCACATTAGTCTGAGTGGAGTGTTAGGCTGACACCATTTGTGATACTTCTAGTTCTAGAGCTAGTTTGGGTTGCAGTGAAACCTCAAGAGGTAAGTGCGACCTAAATGAAAAGTGAATTCCTTTTGCTGGAGGAAAAAAAACCAAACACCATACCGCAGTTGCAATAGTTGTAGTTGACAACACAATTGCTGTTGCACAACCAGCATCCGGATGGAGCCCTATCACATGCCACACCTTAGTATGATACCCATACCCATAGACTGACTGTAGTGCCCGGCCTTTCAATTGAATTCCTGTTGGTATTTGGAACAGGAAAGATAATAACACAATGACAAGTTTTTAAATGCCTCAGGGAATCTTCATACTGAAAGTTCTCAAGTAGCAATTTAACAGGAGATAACATGAAGAACAGAATCAGTGGACAAATAAATATGACTTAATCCTTAAAGCCCATGCAAATAGAAGCCATGCTTCACAGATCAATACATGGGTTTTTAAATGAGTCAGCAAATCACAGAACTATAGAATCATGGAATGGTTTGGGTTGGAAGGGACCTTAACGATCATCTACATCCAACCCCCCTGCATGAGCAGGGACACCTCCCACCAGACCAGGTTACTTCAAGACCCATCCAACCTGGTCTTGAGCACTTCCACGGATGGGGCAGCCACAGCTTCCCTGGGCAACTAGGGCCAGGGTCTCACCACCCTCACACTAAAGAATTTCCTCCTTATGTCCAACCTAAATCTTCCCTCTTCCAGTTTTAATCCCTCACCCCTCATCCTCTTGCTACAAGCCCTTGTAAAATACATCAATAAAGGAGACTGAGTTGATAAAACCTACTTTCATTTCCAAAAGAGGTTACACAGCCATAACAAAAGAGGGAAGTTCTGTCATTTGGATAAAAACTCATTAAAAGACAGAAGAAAGATGGGTTGTGGGAGGTTCCTGTGAGATTCCCATGAGGAGATCTGTGCTGGGACCAGTGCTAATCAAAACCAGAAAAGATGCTGAAAGCTGATATGATTCTAAGTTCAACAAGGTAGTAAATGAATGGCTGAAAAACTGCAGAATGTCTTTATGAAAACAAAAGGATTAGACAATAACATGGCAGATTAAATTGCAAGTAGAGAAGTCAAACAGATGAACAGAACATCCTAACTTTATACATAGAACAGACTCTACACAGACCATTCCCATGCAGACAGAAGATCTCAGGATTATGGAAGAAAATTGACTGAAAACGTTGACTTAGTGCGCAGTAGCAGTCAGAAAGCAAATAAAATGCTAGGAATTATTACTAGGAAATGACAAACCAGGAAATTTCTTCATGCCGTGGAAGAAATTCACAGTACATCTAAATATCAGATGCTTATAGTACTGGTTCCCACACCTCAAAAAGGATATAGCAGTACTGGAAAGGCTCAGAGAGAGGCTGCAGAGGTGAGAAAAGTGTGTAGAGAGTAAGCAAATAGACTTTGACTCTTCAGGCTGGAAAAGACTGATACAGACAGACACATTAAATGTCTATTGAATCATGAAAAGCAAGAGAAGTTAAACAGGGAATGATTATCTGCCATTTCTTAGAGTACAAAAGTTAGTGTCACCAAATGGAAGCAGTGAATACCAGGTACAAAAGGAGCAAATAGAGCCTCAACTTCTTCTATGCTGCTTCTTTCTATGTGCTTGTCCTCAGGTTATGCTTCACCTCAATCTTTTGTTGATCACCAGCTGAGATGTGATTCCAGCCCAGGCACACTTCTATTTTTTCCTACTATTTCCATTTATATCCTAACAGCCACTGACCAATAACCAGAAAAGATGTTAACATGTAAATACCACAGCACTGCATAGCTGAAGTTACTGTCTCATGTTGCAGTGCCTTCCCCAGAGGGTATGTTCCAGGATCTCTATTTTTCATTTCAAAGTTTATTTGATTTTTAAAACATCAGTTCTGATACACTTTCTCTTTAGGAGCCTTTGAAAGAATATGCCGACATATTTCCAAAAAATGCAACTCAGTGGTTGTGTCTGTTGGGTAAGTGCTGCTTTTACACAGAAGTATTTATGGTAACACAGTTCACAGCTGAAACGTTTCTGAAAAATATGATGAAAATAATTACTATTTTAGATTGTGCTCCCTATTTTTCTCTGTAACTTTTAATTTAATTTAGAAATGTGCTTATAAGCAAAGTATTCTAAAATAGCTGTAACACCACTAGCTTGTCTTTTCAATCTACACTAACTAAAACAAATATAATCTTTAAAATGCAGAAAAAAAGGCCTTCATAACTACCATACCAATCGTGAACAAGACAAATGAAATATTTATAATTATTTTGACAATAACCACAATATCTTTTGGCAATTCAGTTATCGTCTGGCTCCTGAACACCCCTACCCAGGGCAATACTTTGATTGTCTGAATGCCACCTTATACTTTATGAGGAATTTAGAAGAGTATCATGTGGATCCTGGTCTCATCATCATTGGTGGTGACAGTTGTGGAGCTAATTTTGCAACGGTTATTTGCCAAATCCTGCTG